CCCCGCCTCTCCGTGCTACGTCATGTAATGTACACTATAGTGGATCGATATGACAATGAAAGAGAGACTTGGAGCAAGTCTAGTTGTTTAGTGGAGAGTGGGTGTTAATTAGATAATTTGCAGTAGCTTTCCTCATTAAAGCAAAACTGATCGGCAAGCCCACTTGACCTCGCAGGCATCACACATGTGGTTGGGTAGATTTGTATTTTTATATTAGCATACTATATAGAATATATATCGTCAAAAAATGCTAAAATATTGTATTAAATTGAGAAATAAGGTTGCTTAACACTACTTGCTTACCCCGAAAAGTCAATTACACATTCTAGCAATTAATCTTGATCCGAAACTGCTCGGACGTGAAATCTAGTCCAGCCCTCATAGTCGGATTTCAAATATTAGGTAAAGGGGCAGAGGGAGGCAAACGAGTAAATTATTCCGGTCTGGTAGTGAAAAAAGCCACGAAGAAATGTTTTAAGTGTTTCGGTGAATATCCGTTGGTGAATAATTTTAATTAAAATTTTAAAATTATACTATTAATGTACAATTAAAAATTACGTTCTTATTAATTACAACAGAATTTTAATAAAAAATATGAAAGAGTTCAGTTATCAGCTTAATATAAAGCAAACATCTTGCTACATAATTACACGTAAACTACGTGAAGCGTTCCTCTTTTGAGTTTCTAAATTGATTGCAATTTTCCTCATTACTTTTGCAATTTAAAAAACTCCCTTGCAAATCGCTTGAGGGAATTTGCAATGTTGCTAAAAGCCAAAAACATTTTCCTCAGTTCCTGTTAGAAGTTCTTAACTTCCTGTTACAAGTTCCTAACTTCCTGTTCTGTTCTGGGCGTTGTAATTGGCTAACAAAAATAATCGACCAATAACAACGCTCAGAACAGAACAGGAAGTTAGGAAATTAAAACAGGAAGATAGGAAAATTTAAAATGAAGTTTGGCAAATTGCAACAGCCGATAGGAACGTTGCAAATTCCCTCAAGGGATTTGCAAAGAGTTTTTCAAATTTGCAAAGCTAATGAGGAAAATTCCAAATGAGTTACGAAGTCAAGAGGAACGCTTCACGCAGTTTACCTGTAATGATTTAAAATATCTTTCTAATTGAAATATCTTATAAATCAAACTTTACTCCGATATTAATTGGTGTTCAAGGCTAATGGAAATTATGGTGATATTAAGGTGATGGTGGTAATGATGATGCTCATGTTCGTGACAATTATGATCATGTTCGTGATGATGGTAATTATTATGTTCGTGATGATGATGATCATGTTTGTAATGATGGTAACGATCATGTTCGTGATGATGATGATCATGTTTGTACTGATGATGATCATGTTCGTAATGATCTTGTTTGTGATAATCATGTTCGTGATGATGATGATCATGTTCGTGATGATCTTGTTTGTGATAATCATGCTCGTGATGATGATGATCATGCGCGTGATGATGGTAATGATCATGTTGGTGATGATGATCATGTTTGTAATGATCTTGTTTGTGATAATCATGTTCGTGATGATGATGATCATGTTCATGATGATCTTGTTTGTGATAATCATGTTCGTGATGATGATGATCATGCGCGTGATGACGGTAATGATCATGTTCGTGATGATAACGGTGATGACGATTACAAGGGAGATGGTGGTGGTGGTGATGGTTGATGATAATAGTCGATAATGGTGGTAACAAATATAAAGGATAGTAGTCCTATGCTGATGCTTTCCGCGCAAACCTAAACGCCGTCTTCCATATCTTGGCCAAAAACCCCTCGACATCTTGCTGGTTTTCCAGACTGGCCGGCAATGTAGGCTTCACGACAAGTTCCCGCCGTTCAAACATCTTCCTAAACTGCCCGGTTGAATTTCTCAACCTTGAAAACTCTTTTACTTTACTCAGACAGATCTGCGCTCGATGACCAGGTTTAACGTAAACGCTTGTCTCCTTGTATCGAACTAACTGCAATTTCTTCTGCAGTTCGTTGTTTATGATAAAAGGATATGGATTTGACGTCGGATTTGGGCTCAAAACATTCAAAAGGTTCTCGTAATCATCAGTGGGTGGGAACTCACGTGACGTTCCCAAAATAAACCTGACATCACATTCCAGTCCATCGAGGTTGGAAGTCTCGGGAGAATTATCGCGTTCGACCCACGCCCGTTTTATATCGGCAAGAAACCATCTCAAACGCGGAAGTTTCAGCATGGTTGGGTTGAGCCTCTCGTCGTAGCACGCATAGTAATCCTTAGTTGCCAGTCGAAGCGTAGCAGTGTAGGTCTTCTTACGAAGTGCCGGTTGTTCAACATACCCTTGACGTCTAAGATACGCTTCTATGTCATTCATACCCTTGTCGCTTACTACAGTAAAGAGCGAATGATTCGGCGACTTGTCCACTTCGCGTTTTGATTCTTTCGTTTTATGTTTTCGCTCAGCTTTGGGTTTGGATCGACCGGATCCTCCACCAGGACGACGCAATCGCGGCCGACGTCGTATGAGCTCTTCCCTTCTCGTGTCCTGTCCTCTTGCGGCGGAATACTGAAAATCTTTAATCGTAATAGGTTCGCTGTCTTCGTACGAAGCTTGAGGGATGTCGAAAGCGTATATTCGGCCGAAATGGACCACGAATTCAAGGTCGCCGTGAATTGATTGCTCGTAGTCTCGAAGAACGACCTAAAGACATTCGACTCAATTTACTCGTTAATAACTAAAACAACGGTAATCTCGAATGGTCGATGCCTGTGTAGGTAGAAAAATATTAGCAGAACTTCGACGTTTCGATCGAAAGCCCTTCGTTGGGAAGATAGTAAAAATGATGAGATACCTTTATCAATCCAAATTTTGAAAGTATACGGCACCCGTTTATTGTACGTTCGGAATAAGCAGCCCACAGGGGCCACTATCGTTTAAGGAGGTGATTCATTTGGGAGTATTAAAGACGCCAAGAATAAAATCCATTCGCGAAAACGTCTTGCAAATTAATGTAAATGAAAGCTTCTTCGCTTCTTGGTAAAGTGTGCAGTCATGTGTATCTTTCAATGTTGAGTACACTTCAACTTACATTATTTAATATAAAAGATATCAAATCACTTTTGGTTCGATGAAAACTTAATTAGAATATAGACTTTCCCGACACACGCGCTATCAACTTCCCGACACTGAAAGGGCCTTCGCTCAAAACGTCGACATTCTACTTATATTTTCCCGGTGGTTGTATCATTCTCAATCCGCTGGTGTCCTAAAACTACGCCAGGAAGACCCCGTTTACACGAGAGCGAGCAAAAGTCAAACCGGGACAAAAAATTGCTGAGACCGATCTGAAGCCATCCCGCTGGTGACCGAACCGACTATCTTCAGACCGGCATGAATTCGAAGCAGGATGAATGTGAACACAAATACATTTCAGACCGGTCTAGGCTGTGCTCTTGACTTCGGAGAAATATGCATATGTTCACAAAAACACTGTAAGAAACGGCAATGGCAGGCAAGGAGAATTCATTGAAAGATTTGTGAACATACATGTGAACACAGGGTCTTAGCTAGGATTTTAGATCTTGGGCGTGTTTCTAAACGACCACGGTGTGCACATGTCAATTACCTTGAATAGCTAAATTCACGGTTCTAGTTATGGCTCGCCAACAACAGACAATGCCTAACATTAAAATATTAAGTTATTTCAGCAACTCTTGGGGGTATTTAAAACCATTTTACATAGTAACACCATATCCATCAAAACATTAAAACATCACGGATCAGTTTTGCCAATTTCAACAACTACAGTAGATTTTACAAACTTTCTTACCGGACGTAAATAGGAAGAAATTCTGTCTGTTGTAAGCAGTAACACCCTATTCTATGAACATACACGGCCTTATATAAATAATGAAGCCGCGTTCATTTTATCTAGCCGTGTTTTTCCATTTTTGGCCGCGATAACACGGCCAACATGGCCCTCTACATAGCTAAGACCCTGTGTGAACATCAGGGATGCCGGAACCACGGGTGCAGTTGCACCCGTTGCCTTTTGTCTTCACAACTTTACGGGTGCACTACGGGTGCAGAATACGGGTGCAACGGGTGCACAAAGTGCCCTTTTTGCGTGAAAAATTTTCATTAAAAATTGCATTTTTTGCGCAAAGGGCATTTTTGAAAAATTCAATCTATGTTATTTCCGGAAAAATGTTTTAATTTCCGGAAAAAATAACATTTTCCGGAAAAATTTTCGGTATGTCCGGAAAATTATTTCGTATTTAGGAAAAATTGTGATATGTCCGGAAAATACCCCTAAAATGGTGCACTGACCAAAAAATTTTTGGCGTGCGGGGCTGAGTGACATGTTTTATTATCAAGAGTTGCAAAATATTCTCCGTCGCATTCCTCGTCATTTATAATGACTTCTCCATAAAACCCATACCTTGATTTGATCGAGAAATCTTGTGCGCAAACTCTGGAAAGCGTGGCACTCTTGAAACTCCTTGGGTGGTTGGGTCGCGTTTTCGAGCAATGGTACATGACGATACCGCTGGTCATGAGTTTGATGATGATTGCCATGGTATGGCACAAGCTTCACGTGATCAGTGCTGCTATGGCAACCTTCAAACGTGATCATTGACGCTCCTCGCACGAAACATTTCGACATGGTGGAGACTTTTTTCTTTACGCATTCCTTCTCATCTGAACCGAGCACGCGTTCTAAAACACGGATGGTTCCGATGGTTCCACGAGCTTCTACGATCAGGTTACGACTGGAGCCGGGCATTTGTGGGCGAATTGTCACGAAAGCACCACTTTTCCTTCAGAATAAAGCAGTTTCACAAAATTAGTGAAATAATTCCAAATGAACAATCTATCTACTAAGAACTATCGTGCTGCAGAAGATGATCAACCTGCAGCGGTTATCAAACAATGTGAATGGACCATTTGCATTATAGACTAAATTTTGATCTAGACAAAAATTTCATCACAGCTTGAAAGAGCATCACAAAATTAGTAATATTCCAAAGTTTCGTTGCGAAATGTTGTAAAATGCGGATAATATAGCCTTGCGAAGTTTGCCGTTTTTCAGTCATTTTGTATTACGCACGGGAAATTGACAGCCCAATCGGGTGTTGGGGCATCAATTTCCCGATTGTAATACAAAATGACTGAAAATTGCAAACTTCGCAAGGCTATATTATCCGCATTTTACAACATTTCGCAACGAAACTTTGGAATATTACTAATTTTGTGATGCTCTTTCAAGCTTAGACAATGTTTATTTCTAAAATTACTTCGCCAATGAACTCATAAGATGGGTCATTTTAAGCAATCGTGCTTTATCAGATCAGGGTGTCCACCCTTTGGTGAAGGTGAAATTCAAGGACTTTTCCAGGACTCTCAAGGCCCTTTTTCAGTAAATTCAAGGACCAAGAACTGGGAAAAATCTTTAAAAATGGCACCGATTTGCCGTAAATAATTCCTTTATTCAGTACGTAATTTTAATCAAAATCACTAATGTTGGCACAGCTGGAGGTTAAGGAAATTAATTCCAGGACGAATAGACCCTTTCGATAACTACATCACATATCTTGTTTTGGAGCCTCGCTCTCATGAATTGTGAGCCAATCACCTTTCATCTTGAAACATGAATGGTTCCCAGGCCAAGATGAGATACGCGACCTAATTATCGAAATTGCTATTGAAGCTTGCTAAGCTCTCAGCTTACCTGGTGAGTTCTCGAGCGCGCGTTCGTTCTGAACGTTCGCCTGCGATGTCTATAGACTGGAGACTAGACAGTGCGAATGTTCTTTGAACCTGGGCCGAGCTGATGTCTAAGAGGGCGTGGCCGTTGCCATGGATAGCGAGCACGTGGTACGCTTTCTGCATTTGTTCACTCAAAATTTGCACATCTTCCGTCGTCAGCAGTTCGGAAAATGTCGTCACACCGAGTAGAGCGCGAAATGATTCCGGAAACGTCCCAGTAAGAATCTGCCGACGATTTTTAAAGAACTCCAGTAATATTTCACCAATACATAAACTGGCACCCAGACCTCGAGATACACCTACGCGGTCATTAGTACGCAGTCTTCCTGATTGATCGCGGCCATTGTTCAACAGGCCATTAATAAGACCGCTGAAAAATTCAGGACTTTGATTTTGGCAATTTCGAATATCCCGATATCGTTCAACAATGTCTTGAACAGAACAGGGAAAAATGTACCCTTTCTGAATGCAAAATGATAGCATCATAAACACCAAAACGTTTGTATTGATCAGAACACCACCCAGTCTTTGAGTAAGACCAGTGGCATGAGCCCAAAGTATAACAAAGCGAATCAGCGGTAGTAAACAGGGGTACTTCGAGTAGTAAGAAACAAGGACGGCTGTTTTGATAAAACCGTTCCGATCAGCTGAGATATCACAGGAGAGGTTTAAACGGTTCCGACTGCCACGAGGACTTCTAAGTTTTCCCAGTCGGATCACGGGCACTTTTGCATCTTTAATGAGTGTCACACCGCCAAAAGACCTTCGGAGAATAAGTTCTAATCTCTCCAAGGTTTGAATTTGTGAGGCTTGAGTTCGATTCTCGCCAGCCCGTGACGACACGACACATAAGTCCAAGTCAGAATCCGGACGAAACAAGAAATTGGCGGAAGAGCCAAACATCACGAGTCGATCATGTGGCCACTGCGTGGACACAACCCGAGCGACGACGTTCAACAGCTCCAGTCGGGCTTCGTAACTATACAGTAAGTGGTGCGCATCCCTCGAGAATATTTCGTGGATGCTGCGAGAAATATCACGCGTGATCGAGAGAGAAACTGGTGTGTTGGAGATGTTGGTTGTTCTTGGGCTTGATAATACGGTGATAAGGACGTCGTCGACTACCCAGGGAAAACTGATAAAGCGGATCTGTGGAAAGAAGAAGCAATTGATAAATTTGGATAGCTCTATCAGTTCTAAACTGTTCTTGTTTGAGGTTTAATAAGGTCACCAGTTGTTGATATATGTCGTATATATGGTCGGTGCCCTTCGAAGGCCTTTCGTCAGGTTTTGCTTATATATATATTTTTGAGGTAGTTGTATCTCTTTCACAATGGGACGTACGATAACTATAAAGTATAAACTAACTTTATTAATGCTGGATAGCTCGTCGGCCTCTCCAGATCTAAATTGCTCTTTTTAGAAGTTCAGAGAAGACTTACTATATCTTGCATTAGTTGAGTGTAATTCCAGGAGGAAACGAAACAAAGTAAGACTAATTTTATTGACCCTGGTAAGCCGTATAAGAACCTTTAAACGGTTCTCTCTTGAAGACCAGTAGAGGCAATCTCTTAACCCTAACCCGAACCCCAAACGCAATTTATCAGATGACACATGACAGTTTTTTTTACATAAAACAATGGAGTATATAAGAGGTTTGAAAAACACGGCTTAAAGTTCTAGATCATCCCTCTTTATAACAGTTCTGTCCAAAATCGTATATTTACCCGTAATTTTTTCTCCCTAAACTACAAGACAAAGCGAGCAAATCAAAATTACCTAAAGTATCCTATTTCCATCGTGTCGTTGGCACCTGGAACTCACTGCCATTAGATATCAAAAGTTCAACCAACTTAGCAACTTTTAAAAAAGCTATCTCAAGACTATTGCACGATTAAACTTGATTCTTATATTATTCCTGACGAAAGACGTACTTAACTAATTTTAGACTAAATACTGCAATATATCTTACTAATTCAATAGTTTATCATGATTTTTAGCCACAAGGGGTATGATGTCAATTAGGGCTTTGCCCTGTTTCTTTCTCCTGTTGTCACTGTAAAGCTGATGACTAATTTAATAAATTCAAATTCAAAAATTCAAATTATTATATTACCGCCGGGGTTCCGTTGCTTCGCAAACCAGGACTTGTCTCCATGACAGGTTTGTATGCATAATGGTACCACGCAGAAGCCTTCTGTTTCATGGCAATTGTCACCTAATGAGCCAAAGGTTAAATTATAACACAGAAATTAACTCTACAAATATAAACCTCGGGCAGGTTGTATGAAAGCCAAGATAGCCGATTAGCTTATCCCTAGGTTAACCAAAAATTCAAAGCAAACTTCTCAGCAACTTTTTATAAATTTGGAAATATTTCTTCAGAAATTTAGTCCGGATCAGTAGGAGTTTTCTTCTCTGACGTTTTGAAGTAAACAGATGTGCAGACATACATATACTAAAACAAAGGGCTAATCCACCTAATCGTAAATCAACAGTTTTTGCGTTTAGACGAACGAAAATTTTGGTTAACACTATCACTTTCAGATAGGTTTTCATTTAAGTCGATGGCAAGGTAAATCTCTTCCGAAGACACAATTTTGACACAATTTTGACACAAATTAATACAAAATTTGCAAATTTCGTTTTCAAACCAAACTTTGCAGTTTTACTAATTTTAACATGCTCTTTCTAGCTGTGGTGATGGATTTTGTTTTTCTTGCCAAGATCAAAATTTAGTCAATAGCTGGAATTGCCTATAGACCTTTCCCCTTCAGATGATCAAAACTGATTATCAATTTCCCATTTGTAATACAAAATGCTGAAAAACGGCAAACTTCGCAAGGCTATATTATCCGCATTTTACAATATTTCGCAACGAAACTTCGGAATATTACTAATTTTGTGATGCTCTTTCAAGCTGTGATGAAATTTTTGTCCAGGCTAGTCTAGATCAAAATTTCACTTAAAAGGGGAAAGGTCTATTGTACCCTAGTAAACTTCTTTGCTCTAACCTGTCTGGGCAACAGTCTGTCTCCGTTCATTTGAAATTCTCTGAAAAAGGACATCCGAAACTCTGTTCTTAATTGCCGAATCAACTTCCGAACGACGACGGCGATCTGCGAGCGTTCCCGACCGAAATCCCCTTTCAGTTTATGAAAACAGCTACTCAGCATCTCGCCCTCCGTTTTAATCCCGTACAACGTCAGGAGCGTCTGTAACTGCGACGCATACTCGGCATAGGTGAGCGCCGCTGACCGAATGTACTGCTCGTATCCCGGAAAGATGAGCCTGCCGTCTAGCTGTACAGCGGAATTCGGCACCACGTGGTTCATGATTTCCTCGAAATCTCGAACTTCGCGGAAAAGTCGGCCGAGAACTTTGTGCGATATGTAGGTAGGTTTGCTAGGGACCATCATGAAATCGGGGTATGAATGGACTTTATGTTCTTTACCAAGTTTTGGCCATCGTCCAGTTTTGGGCGCATCGACTGCCAACGAGTGTAATTCAGCGAGCTCGAGACATTTTGTTGATTCAACTCCACGCTCTTCAGAGTCCGCGTGAGCTTTGTGGGCGTTATCAATCATACCTAAAAAAGATTGAAGAAAATATCAGTCAGGGAGACAATGGAGTTCAATGGAGAAAAGGTCAGAAAGTGGTACATGTGTCGGTCTTTACTTTTATGGTTCGATTCCTGAAATATGAAGAGGTCTGGGGCCGGTTGTATAAAAACGTAGTTAGCGCTAACTGCAGTTAAAAAGTAGTTAAAAAGCCTTAAAAAATAGTTAACTTTAATCACGTATAGTTAAGCCGGTTGTATAAAAGTGTAGTTAGCCTGCCTTAACTGCAGTTAAAAAGTAGTTAAAGTTAACTATGCTTTAGGGTATAGTTAACTGTCCAAAACGTAGTTAAAAATGGCGTTTGTATAGGAGTGAACAACATTTTTCAGTAAAACAACAATGAAAAGCAACGGTTACCTGAGATTTTCAATCGCTATCTTCCCTGTGAATGTTTCCTGACAATATAAACTCTTCAAACGGTATCGCTTTGGTGTTTTTACGAAAACAGAACATATTTTTGCACAGGACGATTTCTCGAAGACGAAGTATGGTCCATTACACCAAGAAACACTGATATATAATTGCCAAACAGCTATACCTTGGTTTAACATAGGCATCTCAAGGAAAACTGCATTCTTTTATGATTTTTGTGGCGGTTTTTCCTTGTTTTCGTGTATATTTTTCACTGTTTTCTAGTGTTTTGAATAAAATTCCCGCCTATTTGCAAAATATGAGTCCACAATCATGTTGAAAATGTGTGTCAGCGGTCGTTATTCGCTGCTTACTTTATGTAATTTTGTGTTTAAACGCCCCACGCACAGTTAACTACGTGATTAGTTAACTATCCGACTAACTACGTTTTGTGCCACGCAGTTAAGTCGTGTAGTTAACTAATTACAGTTAAGGATTTAACTACAGTGATTAACGCTAACTACAGTTAGCGCTAATTACGTTTTTATACAACCGGCCCCTGATTTAGGACTGTTCGGTATACCGATATACCGAAAATATCGGTATTAAATCAATATCGGTATATCGATACCGGATATTCAACCATACCGATATACCGAAATTTCGGATATACCGGAATTTTTCGGTATACCGTGTTAAATTTACCAACTATATGGCGAAACCATAACCTTTATTTTACTACTGAATGGCAATTCAAAGAACTTTCTACTGCAATGATTTAGAATTTCCACTTCAGTGAGATTTTACACTGAGTACGTGCATGTCGTTCGAAACATGTTCGAAACAGCTTCGAAATTATCGTTTTCCATTTTAGAATTACTCAAAATTTCCTTCAAACTTCCATTAAAGAATTTTCCTTTATAATTATCAAAGGAAAACCGGTATGCCGATAATATCGGTATAATTTTTTCGGTATACCGATACCGGAAATTTCTCATACCGAACAATTTCCTAGTCTGATTGCTCTTTCGCTCTAGGACCTTATTTCACAAGCGCTTTTTCCTGGCGAAATGTTCGCGCGAAGCAAATTAGGTTCATGCGCGGTAAAGATACATTAGGTTTCTCCCGGAAAAACGTTCGCATGGCCAGTGAGTAGAAGTGAGTTCTACTCACTGCGAAAACGAAAAAAGTGGGAAAATTCAATAGAATCACTCATGTGCAACTATCCATATTTCGCCGAAACAATTTCCCGCGAAGAATTGATCTAGTACAAAAAAATTAACTTTATTGCTTTTCAACAAGTCGTCGTGAGGACTACGAGATCTCTTAAAAAATTCGCACTCAGATAGGCGACATCTACGACATACAGCTCAGTGCCTACGACATTCTCGTATCAGTGCGGGATGGCATAAGCATACTACTCGTACTCGTTGCTAAAGTTCTTTATTACCACATGAAAGTTAATTGTGACCTGACTTTCATGAACACTTAGCTTTTTTAGATCAATATCAATGCTTTTAAAAGAATAAAAACTACATTCTGTCAGGAATCTATGTCACCGTGTCAGGAATATATGTCTTACTTACCCAGCGCATCGCATTCAATATACTCCGCGTAGAATTCGACCATATCCTCAACAGTGATTGGCCCTTCTTTGACTTTCTTAGGCAAAGTGGGATAATCCATTGGTTCGTGAATATCTCTTCTTGGTTTGAAATCATCACTCCAGGTAACAAAATAGAGATCACCGTCAAGATCACCGCCTGTGGATTATGATGCAAAGGCAGTATTGGACACTTGCAATTTTTGCTGCGATTTCTAACGTGATGTCCTTCTTCTGATGCATGTGAACGAGTAGATGACATGGATGTTCTGGGTATACATACCCTCATCTGAACATTCGTAACTGATCCACTCGTTCACATCCATCAGAAGAACAAAATCGCAAGACAGACCTTTATACTCTTAGTGAGTTTTATTATTACTCTTAAAACTCTTAATAAATTTTAGTACAGTAGTATTTACACTAACCAGCTACCGCACGTTTATGACCATTGCTACACAATTCACAATTTCAGATATAGCTGACATATCAATTTACAATTGTTCTGATAATGTAAGCATAGAACAGAACAAAGCTAGGCAATGAAGCATTTACAGTATACAGGTGAGTGAATTGAATGACAACGAGCCTGAACAAGCGTTAGCCGATTAAGCCCAATAGAAATCGACTTTACCTGCCATTTCGTTTGGATGTGGTCTAGGACCATTCCTTGGGAACACAACACAATCAACCAGATGATACAATTCTGGCACATCCACAGCCTCGAGTTGGCGTACATCACCCGGATGTAAGCACGGATTACGAGTCACGACAACCGAGCGCCTGACAACAAACCGCTGATCACTGATCGCAGGCTCATCGTCGTCCCCATCTGATGCCATATGCGAATACTGCACAAAAACCTGTCCAGCCTGCAATAAACCGGTTTCGTCCATAACGCCCATCATGAGCCTCGCTTCCGTAACCGGAAGTAATATTCTGCTTTTCTTGAGCAGTCTATGTATGCGTTCTTTGTACAGCGCACACATCAAAGACTTGAAGTAAGGCTCGGTTGTCAAGGCCACGCCATTGTCGCTAAGGGCTTTATAATCAATTCCAGTTCGAATGACATTAGACATGCGCTGTAGCGCTTCGTTTTCGTTCAACATCATTTCTGAAAATAAAATTCCTTCCATGTTATATCCCAATATTTTATGTTGAAATTGGTCGATAGCTATTCTGTCAACAATAAAGTAGACAACGTGTATTTTTAAAATTACTTTTAAAATTAGCTTTTCGTTTTACCTCAAAAAACCACAACAGTCTGTTTCATCCGTATAGGAATCATCAGGCGGTGAGTAATTTTGAAAATGTAGGTTGCTTTTATGCTATCGAAAGAAATCCGAAATTACTCACCACCTGGTGATTCGTATATGGATGAATGCGCAACCTCCTCCCCCTCCGTAAATCAAAGCAACGACAACAATATACCTGCTAAGCTATCCAACACTTTTTGTTGTAGATTCAAGAAAATTTCATCAGGTACCCCAAGATTAGACAATAACATTATGGTCTGTTGGTTGAGATAAACAGCCTGGGGCCGAGACGTCTGTAGCAGTTCCAGTCTCCTGTGGGGCGACTCGAACTTCTTCATGCTCGGGCGAATGCACATTTGACGGGCGCGCAAATTCGGATCCAGACAAAGGACACCCTTACAGCCAGCAAAACGAATCTGCAGAGCGGACGTAAATGTTGGCTTTCCAACAGTCTGGCAAACCTGTAAATTAAATTGAAATAAATACTAAACATTTGTTCTCACTTTGAGCAATACAAGTACCTTGTGTTATTCAAATAACGCGACAACTCTAGGGTCATGTTGTGCCTACACTTATTTATGGCTCACACATTTAACTTGCAGGCGATTTGGAGGCAAAAAATACAGTTTTTCGATCTACAGACGATCGTGCGTGTAAACGCGTAGACCCATATTTCCACAATCTTGAACATAATCCTTGAGACCATTGCAGCCATTATCGCAGAGTTAATGCATATTGACAAAACAAATTTCGTCACCCCCCTCTCCCCAGTTGGGGGAGCGGGGGCTTAATAAGGGTATAATCTCAACTAGCCTACCTCGTATAAGTCTCCACTAGTTATAACCAAGATTGTACCTATTAGATCTAGATAGTTCAGTTTGTGTTTATTTCATGATCTGTCAGATACAAAATGATTTTTAGTGTAAAATGCGGACTAATTACCTGTCTTGCCAGTGCAGAAGATATTGTGCCGATGCCATCAGAAAAACAAAATTGATTTGCTTCATCTTGAACCTCGTCAATTTCTCTATACCTAACACCCTCCTGTAGCGTGATGCCAACAGTATCGAGCGAGGTTGAAAAACACTGACCAAGACGAGCCATATACGACGCAACACATCTGGAAAAATACGAAGGAAACATTACCATGGGTTCCTGATTAGCTCTAATAAATGTATAACATTTACACTCGATGATTTTCATCTACAAGGCCCTTCAACTAATGTGTATGGCTATTTGCCGCGAGGCCTAGTATAAGCGTTTTCACGTTTTGCAAAGCTACATTATTTATACTACAATCTTGGACATAACTGGTTGAGGTTACCTTTCCCTCTATACAAAATACGCTTGTCCCTTATGATACATTTTTGATAAAAAGTCCATGTTGGGTTACTTCCAAAGCCCCGGCTTCCCCAACTCAATGTTGAGCTTGTGTCATGGTATATTACCAACAGTGGCGCAGCCAGCCCGCAGCCATTTCAACTCATTATCATTATTTTAGAAATTGATTGTGTTGATAGTTTAAAAACATGGCAATATTTGCATAGCGGGACTGAATGGTGGGGTTGGCTACGCCACTGATTACCAAAAGTGGTTTCGGAGCTGTTTTCAACTGGGTCAGAGGGGGTGACAAAGTTTGTTTTGTCAATGTGCATGCGCATTAAGTTTGCATGCGCATTAAGTTCTCAAGGGTTATGTGCACATTGCAAATACGATAGCTCCGTCAGTTCAGACAACTATTCTCCCAAAGGGAAAGGTCATCTCGCAATGTTCTAGTGGTCCTATGGCTCTAGCCTAGTTGGGGCGTCGGTGGCGAAGTGGTTTGCGCACTTACCTTTCACCTCTAAGGCCGCAGGTTCAACCCTCAGTGAGAACTTTCTCGAACCCAGTCCTCATGTGAAGAGTAAAAATCAACGCTCTGCCGAAATTCGTGGGTTTTCTCCGGGTACTCCGATTTCCTCCCACATGGAAAGTTGACAGGGTGGGTTAGGTAAAAGGGCCCACAGTAATTGGCATATGCTGTTGTGGTGACCCTGCCCTAGTTGGCAAAGCTAAATAAAAATAAATAAATAAACCTACCTTATCGCACTCAAATCCCCCATCCACTGTCGAATAGCGTCAGCGTCTCCTCGCCAAGATGGCTGAACGAACCAACACCCATGACTCCGCATTTGACTATTGGAGCAACCGACATACTCATAGTGACGCCCACCCACAGGCAACCCTTGGAGCATATATCCTTTGATACCCTCTAATACCACCTCCAACGACGCGTTGTGTCCCCTGAGTTTGGAATAATCCTCCTCGCGTATACTGACAGAGATAAAACAGTCCGTATCGTAATTACGAAGGACCCGATTTTGTTCCATCACTTCCGCCGGAAATGGAATAACCCTTGTCGGAGTGAGTACCAGTCTCCTTACAAGTGCACAGTGTGCGGGGACATTAGATCTGGAGATACGCGCACGTCTCACGTTTTGTCCACGTGCAAGCAACGTGCCAAGCTCGTGTTCCGGGTCGGTAAAGTAGTCTTGCAATGCACACGTCGAAATTTGATAAAGAGCGTTGATGCAATCATCTTCGTCCATGCGATGACACATCTGCCACAACTGATCGTAAAACGATGACGTCATGCGACACCTTAAATTCGGGTGGAGTCCGATCAGGCATTCGTGGGCATACCAGACTTCGGGTGGGAAGCGGGCTATGCGATGAGTTTCATTGCCTTGATTCTCAATGTTTATTGGTGCGTAGTAAAATCTTTTCCCGAAACCTTTTAATGCTTCTAAGGCGTCGTACAAGTCTTCTGTATATGGAAGTCGCACCCTTAGAGCCAGAAATTTGCCAAATGGTTTCATATCTTCGATTTCAGTACGACGTGACCAAGATTTTACCCAAACCAAATCATCTATCGCACTGGTTTCTTCAGCAACGAAAGATCGGGAGTTTTCATCTTCAGACTCCGAGTCGCTAGAACTGTCGCTATCATCAGATGGGTTCTGTATTTCATCTCGTTGGTCGGGTATGGGAACAGGTTGTCGGTTCATGTAGAGTGCCCCGTCAGCTCTGTCATCTGGCGGTAAAGGAGCATAACGATAGTTATAAAATATTTACTATAGTATGGTATGGTTTGGTATGGTGTGTTATGGTGTGGTATGGTATGGTATGAAATGGTATAGTGTGATATGGTGCAAGTGGTATGAAATGGTATGTTGTGAAATGGTATGGTATAATATGATATGGTGTGTTATGGTGTGGTATGGTATGGTATGAAATGGTATAGTGTGATATGGTGCACGTGGTGTGCAATGGTATGTTGTGAAATGGTATGGTATAATATATGGTGTGTTATGGTGTGGTATGGTATGGTATGAAATGGTATAGTGTGATATGGTGCACGTGGTATGAAATAGTATGTTGTGAAATGGTATGGTATAATATGATATGGTGTGTTATGGTGTGGTATGGTATGAAATGGTATGGTGTGATATGGTGCACGTGGTATGAAATGGTATGTTGTGAAATGGTATGGTATAATTAATATGATATGGTGTGTTATGGTGTGGTATGGTATGGTATGGTATGAAATGGTATAGTGTGATATGGTGCACGTGGTATGAAATGGTATGTTGTGAAATGGTATGGTATAATATGATATGGTGTGGTATGGTATGGTATGAAATGGTATAGTGTGATATGGTGCACGTGGTATGAAATGGTATGTTGTGAAATGGTATGGTATAATATGGTACGGTATGTTATGGTGTAGTATGGTATGAAATGGTATAGTGTGATATGGTGCACGTGGTATGAAATGGTATGTTGTGAAATGCTATGGTATAATATGGTATGGTATGGTATAATATAGTATAGAACTGTATGGTGAGTAGGGTACAGTTCAACAGATATGTTCAAGGTCTGTGCCAGTGTAGGTAGTACCAATAATAAAAACAAAACTTTGGTTGGTAGACATGCAACTACCTGAAAAATACAAGGAGTAATTCGATGTTTCGAGCGAAGGTCCTTCGTCGGAAGTTAGGACCTTCACTCGAAACATCAAATTTCTCCTTGTATTTTTCAGGTAGCTGCTTCTTTAACAACCGAAGTTTTGTTGTTACAGTTCAACAGAGTGTGGCATGCAACATTGAAATGCTGACATCGTATAACGAAACATGGTGTGGTATAATTAATATGATGGTACTTTGGTATAATAAACAATGGCATAGTGTATGATGTGTATGTAGTATATAAGAAGCGTAATGTAAATAGTCCGTGATACTTGTAAGGTATTACATGATACAGTGTTGTGTAGTATCAATCTGGTATTGCATGGTATGAAATGGTATTGTATGTTCTGGTTATAATACAGAAATTACTTATTACGATATGGTATGGTATAATACAGAAAATCACCAGAATTACCAGGTAGCCTGTCTAAAACTTCTGGTTGCCGTAACAACACATCATCGTCACCAGAACTTTCCCCCGAGCTCTCCCCAGGCGGTCTTGCGTCTTCGTTCCCGGCAGCATCCGCACGATTCCCATCAACCGCTTCGTTTTCGTCATCCGAATATTCACGAAGGTAGTACTCGCTGAACGAACAGTCGTCGGCTTCTTCCGATAGCCGAGAAACATAACTTGTTGCTGCACTTAATGACGGCACATGACGTAGGCAAAAGAACATGTCAACGGATTCGTTTTGGTCTTGCGGGAAACTTAGTGTAACAAACTCATGAAGTTGATCGTATCGAAATTCAATTTTTTGAAGTGCGCCGAGAGAGTTATAAAAGGCAATGGTGACTAATTTTAAATCGTGAAGGAACACAATTTCGGCACCGCCATTACACTGGTGTTGCCATAACTCAGAGAAAGTACCCCTATCTTTAAAATCTCCACCGGCGATTAACTGAATTGGAAGAATGTGAAAAACCATGTTTCGGTCATTGGGCTTCTCGTCTCGTTCTAACCATAAACTCGGGCCAGCTTCGCACCAAGTTCGGACGACGTCGTCGAATAGTTGTTCTGGATTCCGATGCGTGTGATCTCCGGGAAGAGATCGGAGGTGAACGTAGATGTTTTCATCGGCTCTTTGTGATTCGTTCGATGCCGTTTGAAACTGAAGTTGTTGCGAAGGTTGGCGGTTGATAGATAGCACTGCAAAATGATTCCGTAGTACTTCTAAATAATTGCGATCTAGACAGGAATAATGAAAAACTGTCAAAAGCGTCTTTTTCAAACTGGCAAAATGACAAACGCTTAAGAGGCAATTTTTTTCAATGTCACGTATTTGCGATGAAAAGTGTTCAAAACCTAAAATCTTTTTGGCGTTCCTCTCAAAATTATTTTGTTTTAGCTTTATTTTGTAGTTTATAGGAGTTTGCTAACTTTTTAAATGTATCTGGCAGTCGAGAAAAACAAAATAATAGTTAATTATTGAACATATAACTTCATCATTACCTGAAGAATGCCTAGAAGATCTCGACGCATTTTCATTGCTCCGTGACGACCCCACTGCTGACACCGAAACTGTTGAACTACTGAGTGATTCTAGGACAACTCCTCTCCCTCGAGGACCAGCTGAAGACGAAGAACTATCCAACCTCTCATTTCCATTCAAATAAACGACAATCGATACGGAAGGGACTGCTTTCTTATCTTCTCGTTTTCTACGATTCTTTCTTTTCCGAGGTGAGCGTTTCTTACGCGATGCTCGAAAGTGCTTAGCGTCCAGTTTCCGTATTTCGCAGCCGCGTGTCGAAGGAAAACCAAAGCGGGCCTTGTCATTGATTACGTGATCTAAATTCTTCTCCTTCATTTCCAACTCTTGGAATGACGTCATCTACAATATCGAGAATTTTCAGAATGACTTTTGTAATGGATAATCTATTTCTAACACACAATGGTCTTCATGCAAGCCAGGGTGTCAAAACTGAAATAATTTGTCATACGTTCACAATTCAGCGTCTTTTCGACAAAAATGTAACGAAACGTATGCATTTGATGACGTAAAGAGAAGCTGGCAACTTTTGAGTTATTTAAGAACATAACAAATTTGGCCAAACAACATCCAACGATGTCCTTAATAAATTAACTTGTAATGATAACATTTATAAGCAGAGAACTCCATGTAAACTGGAACGCTAACTCCTATGATGAAGCCTATGATTCGCTGAAGCCAAAATAGTTTTTCTAAGTTTTAAGCTAAAATACTTGACCCCAAACGTTGGGCTATATATCAAACTGAAGCTATTGAAAATTGCTATTCGGTGTGGAAATTTCAAGACTTCAGCGAAAATAAAAATAATATTTAAAAATACAAAAACAACTGCCATTCGGCCAAAAAATGGCAAATTATTGGCAATTATTTTTGTTCTTTTTAAATATTTCCCTTTAGGTAAAGTCTTGAAATCTCTACACCAAATAGCGTTTTTTAGTAGCTTCAGTTTCATAGACAGCACAACGTTCAGTGGTTAAGTATTTCGGCTCAAAACTCGAATATCCGCCATTTTTGGATGGCATCAGATCTAATTCTCGTTCACAGTGCAGACAATTAAGACAATGTGAAAAGCAATTTTTCAAAATAAACTAACGATTTACAAAGCAAATTTATCATCATTCGTCCAAAAAATATAAAAAGTAGCTGTTATGTGGACTTATCTCGCAGACTTCGGCAGAAAAGCCACCCAAAAATGGCGGCCTGAGAAAGGCTAATCCCCCCCCCCCGAGTTATCGTACCAGTTTACATAGAGTTCACTGCTTATAGGTGACACCACAGTTGTGACACCTACCTCACTGATATTATTGCACATGATTACAAAGCGACTGTCAGGACGTCTGGCTGCGCGACCACGGCTTTGAATCAGAGCACGCATGTTCATAACACTATCAAAACGGATGACCAAATTGCACGCGGGCACATCCAGGCCTTCTTCAAGAACGCTGGTCGACACAAGAAGCTTGCATTCGCCCGAGTGAAACTCCTTTAAAACGGGCTCCTGTTCGGCCTTCCATTCCATACCGTGAGTTCCTTTACCGTGGCCCACAAACTTCTTGGGGTTTAGATACCGGCAAATAAGAGGGTCTTCGTTTATTTTATCGCATAACTTTGCGCACGTTTTTCGCATCTTCACGAAAACGATACCTCGGCAACTCTCGTCTCCTTTTCGCACCTGTAATTCAATAGAATATACAGCACATTATTGAAGTCGCCAGAGCAAGTGCCTTTTACCTCTGAGTTCGTGGGCACGATTCTCCCTATGAACGCATTTGTGAAAAGAGTCAGTCAACGCTCTGCCGAAAGTCATGGGTTTTCTCTGGGTGCTCCGGTTTTCCTCCCACAGGGAAAGTTAACAGGGTGGGTTAGGATAAACACAGTTTGGAAAGTAATATCACAGACCAGCTGTGGTGTTGTTGACATGTCAGAAAACGTTCTTACAATTTTTAGTTGCGGGAATATATAGAGAATAATACATGGGTGCTTGGAAATACCAGATTTATTTCGAGTGTTGAACATGATATTGTGTATTTTTCTGTTTATTATATAAAGGACAGTCTTTGAAAAGCGATAATTTTTACAGAAAAGCGATAATTGAAAAGCGATAATTTTCACATGTGAGATTATCATGAATAATCTCACATGTGAGATTATCATGAATGATCTCACATGTGAGATTATCACTTTTATCAGTGCTCGAAATCTCTATGAAGCACTATATCTTATGTAATAAATATGTATATAATGAGGAGAGATTTTTTAATCTGCCACATCCTTACGAATCAAATCGTTGCGTGTTTAAATTGGTTATACTGTCAAGCAAATATCTATTTCTACGTAACTTGAAAGATTCCCACATCTCTTCTAATGACACGATCAATCGATACAATTCGTAATGAATTTCGCAGATTTAAAAAATCTCTTTACATCATAAACATCCTGGCTTCAAAATTGGCTCACATGCCCAATCCAGGGGCCGGTTGTATCAAGCCCGTTTAGCTTAAACGGTGATTAAGTTCAAAATAGAAAGCAAGTCTATAGATTCATTCAACAACCAAACTAAAAGTTTTGAACCTTAATAGAACGATGTTTACAACTACATATTCAGTGCACAATATTTAAGTTCACTGATTCACGAGAGATATAGGAGTGTTATTTAATTGTGACTTATCCACCGTTTAAGCTAAACGGGCTTGATACAACCGGCCCCAGTACTATAGTTTTCAAATCAGTGGTTAATCGTACCTTCTCGGCGAACTTTCGTAATTCATCGAGAAGCTCACGGAATCGATCCGACGGGCCTTGGACGTTTTCGGTGATACTATAAAGCCGCACAATTTCTGTGACCAAAATATCGTATGTAGGAATGTTATTTAGGATCTTTTTGCGTTCCCTGTCCATTGGATTTCCAGCTTGTTCGACAGACACAAACATATTACGCAAACTCTGACAGGCCTGCGCACAGCCTAACACGGTGTTTAACTCGAGGACGCTCAATATGCTAATTGCATGCTCGGCTAGTGCCAGTCCCATTACTTTCTCCCGTTTATTCTGAACTTCCATCATCGCTCGTCGTAAAATGCCTTTATAGTTGCACGATTGTATGTCGTGGTTTTCCAACTCGGAAACTTCCAAAAGTCTTTTTAAATAGGGATTCAGCGACTTTAGGTAATTTTCCAATCGGGTTTCAAGATACCTATAGAAGATATTCATGATGGAGAAAATCAGTATAAAATTAAATAAATTTCGAAGAATAATACCATCTCAAAATTCAAGATTTGATTTAAACACTGGAAAAAAAATTGAAAATCCATAGAAGGTCATAGAATGGAAATTGTACGGACCTTTATTGGAAATAGAATGGATTTTGATAATCCATAATAATTGTATATTTCCATATATGGATATAGCATGGAAATAGTTATACTATGGATTTAGTGGTGCAATTGCAAATTTCATAGTGTGGATTTCACATTTTTTCCCCAATGAAAACAAGTACATACAGACATAGATAGACTTTATTTTAACACGCTATCTTCAACGTACAACTATCAGCTATTTTCCATGAGGGGCGTATAAATGAGTGAACATTTACAATACAAAACATGATAGGAACATTACAAGTAGACAGAATAAGAACCAAAGTGCCAAAACAAGCTATGTTGTCAAACATTTTGCCACAATGTACAGATTTCAGAGTTTGGATTGGAAATTTCAAATTTTTATAGCATCCCATTGGGACACGAAGCCTATGATTTCGAATATCCAAAATTGAAATCTGGTATCTTCTGCATGGATATCGGGATACTGCAAATCTTGAGCCATGTCATTACTATCTACATGACACAACAAGAAGACAAAAGATAGAAAGAAACGAGCCGGCTTCAACTCCTCGTTTGTTTCAAATTGTTTTGAGGGAGTTTATAAGGAAGATTGTTCCAATCATCATTGCAGCCGAAGCGCCTTTTGCCTTTTTGTCCGCTTTGGAAGTGCTAAACAAGGCAAGCTCTTGAAACTATAAAGGCCTGATCAAATTAAGACGAGAGTTGGTAGTCACGTACTGACTCGTACCCAGTCCCTCAAATGAGGATTGAAAAGAAAAGTGGTGCATGGCATACATCACACATCTCCGTCCACTGATCTATATATGTATGATATGTATTCATAAATCATAATTGACTACTGGGCACGAGTCAGAGTCACGTAGATTAACAAAATAAAGATTTGATGAGTGTTCCAACTATGCTTTTTACTTAAATAGAACACATGATAGTGTTGGAAAAGCATTAAGAACAGCTAACCAATATCGCGGGACTGCCGACTCTCGTGCACTCTCAACTAAAAGCTAGCTTTCAACCATGACATACTTCTGGTAATCATTGAGTTCTTTCAGTAAGTACGAGACCTGAGGTCTGTTCCAGAAGGGTCGCAGATCTTGTGGACGCGGTACAATAACACGACACTCCAAGTCATTCAGGAGTTTCTCTAACTCAACTTTGATCTGATCCGCTTTCACAGCTGTTGCAGGCGACGCTGACAGTGCGAGGACTAACGGTTTGAATCTATAATGCAAGGAAAAATACCGATAAGCTTTCTTGGTTTGTGTGAACTATCTAAAATGCTTTGAGCTAAACCCCTTAATTCTCCGTACAGTTTGTAGTTCCCATTGTGTTCTAGTTTGACTCTACCAAATAGTGCAGAAAAATCCTAATATTTAATTTACCCATACGCCGTACATTGGCATCACCTTACTTAGTAGTTATACATGAACTTGTGGTTAGAGCTCGACAACTGTCTCACTGTGGTTAGAGCTGTATACAAGATATATAAGATAGAGCTATATATCGTCAGCCTCCATGGGCGTACCGGAAGGAAAAAATTAGGGGGGCGGAAAGAAAATTGCCCGACTTTTCGGTATTCTGCCCGACTAGTTCCCAAAAATTTTTTCCGGAAAAATTTTTTTGTCGCCAAAATAATTTTTCCGTAAACAGTGTACCATTTTAGGGGTCAAAAAAATTTTCCGGACAAACAATTTTTTCGGAGCATAACACAAATTTTCGAAAAATAACAAATTTGGCCAAAAAATTGACTTAATTTTACACAAAATTTACAGAATTTGTCCCATTTTTTTTTATTGCAAACCAAAATTGCCCGACTGTTGATCGAATATTGCCCGACTGTCCAAAAAACTGGGGGGGGGCTACCGCCCCCCCCCGCCCCCCCGCCCGGTACGCCTATGTCAGCCTCTTAGCATAATTGCCTAACTCATTTTTGGACCAAAATGCGTTTTTGAGGTCAAAAAAGGTAATCAGAGTTTAGATTAGTGTCAGATTAAGATTGGATTAGGGTTAGATTAATATTATATTAGGGTTAAAGGGGTTAGAGACGGGGTGAGATTAGGGTAGGGCTCAACATGCGTCGCGAATTTATTGTATTGATAATTTCGGACGTGTTTAACAATTTACTCGTATAGTAAATGCAAAGGTCGAGCTCATGCTGCAGTTGTTGCATGTGCTGCAAAAGTGTCTATCTCAATAACCTATCAGAAAGCTTCTGTGCCGCTAACAACATTTGCCTATGTCACGAGCACGTTTTAGTTTCCATAAAAATCAGTTTTTTCGGTTTTACTCAAAACTTAGAAAAATGAGTTAGGCAATCATGCTAAGAGGCTGACGATATATAATGTCAAAATTTCCATTTACAAATCCCTTCAACAATTAGTTACATCGAGTGAGATGCCCCAAACCCTTTTTTGCACACCCTGTAGAGCCATCCAACATTAATAAAGATAGTTTACTTGTCATAAATACATACGGTATTCCATGGCTGGTGACGTGACTCCCGCGTTGTGCGGGCGCGAACTTAATTGCTCCGCGTTTTATGTTAATTTTACATCACAATTTGTTCAAAATTGAACTTAAAAACTTACGGGATTATCATTAACGTATATATCTACCTGTGACAAGTGGGAGTTTCGTGAATTGCAACGGAATTGTTTGGATTTTCGTCGTATATATTTGTTTTTACGGCTGCGATTTGGACGGATTACTTTGAATTTTCGGTTGGAACCGTTAATCACGCCAGCACACGACGCTCGCGACATCAACTGATCAAGATACGCCACACAAGAACGACCAAATTATAATTAGAATTTTATTTAGAACGGATTAAACTTTGGTAATCAAATTCTGTCAATTGGATTGAACTTATTTTCACGACAAACATCAAGATGAACAAGAACATGATTTCATGGTCAATCCTTTTCATAATTCTGATCTTCGGAATATCTGATTTTGCAGTAATAGCTTCTGAAAACGACGACCTTGCCGTAAAATTCTATAATAATACAGCATCACAATCTACACATAACTTTTCTTTTCTCTTAAATTATGCCTCGGAAAGAAACTGGTACTGCATTATTAACAATCGAACACGCTTTGTTGCAGTTATTAAACGTAAATTCATGAATCGAAGACTCCAGTATTACGCGAATTGTCACTCAAGTTTTAACCCTACCGTATTTTGCCAGTTTCTGTTAATGTGCGGCGACATTCACCCTAATCCAGGACCAACTACTACAAATACGAACATAAATCCATGTCGCAGTAATAAACAGAACACAAATGGACCTCGGGACAACCAATCGGACCTATATTGTATGCATATGAATGCCAGAAGTTTGAAGAAAAACATCCACTCGCAAGGGAATTTGTATACCTCTAACCTGCTAAAGTTTCAAGAGATGATTTACTCGGAGATGCTTGACATAATGTTTGTATCTGAAACGTGGCTCAACAGCGATATTTCCAGCAAAGAAATTCTACCCCATGGGTACGACATCTATCGGACCGATCGATCACTAGGACGAACTGGAGGAGGCGTGTTAGTAGCTATTAAACAAGGTGTTTTCATCAGCTGCAGTCAACTTACTTCTATTGCGACTTCTGACTTAGAGGCTGTTGCTATCCAATGCACTCTACCAAACCACGAAAAATGGCTCCTTGTGTGCTGTTACAGACCACCTGTTAGTAAAGATCTGTCTGATCTTAGATCCATGGCTGATAATTTATTTCCAAATTACGACAAGATCATTATTGCTGGTGATTTCAACCTTCCAAATATTTCTTGGACAGATTCTAACCATACATCAACTGGAACATTAGGTCAAAATTTCTGCGATATCTTGGATGATTACTTCATGTCTCAACTCTGCCTCATCCCTCCGAGAGAATCAAACATTCTGGACTTAATAATTACGAACCAACCTGAACAAATATCGATTTTAGACATTTGCGACCCAACCGAGTTAGGAATGAAAACTGATCATAAAGTTACTAGATTTACGTTTTCCAAAGCATCTAACAACATCTTGTCAAATAAACGTTTGGTCTACGATTACAAAAGCGGGAACTTTGATGATCTACGAAAACGTCTAATAGACATGGATATTTGTTCTCTTATGACAAACAATGGAACTGATTCTAGTATCGATGATGACTGGTCAATTTGGAAGAATGGTGTGTTGACTGCTGTACACGAATTTATCCCCACAAAACAAGTAAATCCAAAACGTTCACCCCCGTGGATAACCCCAACCATCTTGCATCAGATCCGTGAGAAAGTTATCACTCGTAAGAGATACCTAAGCCGAGGAACTGACTATCTAAAAGAAAAATTCAGTCGATTAAGAGCTCAAGTCAAGAAAGCAATTAAAGAAAGCAGAGAGTCGTTTTTCCAATCCTTAGGCAGCACATTAAAGATTAATCCCAAACGTTTTTGGTCCATCTTCAAAATTAAGTCATGTTCTGGAAGTGTACCCAACTCAGTCTCGAGAATTTGTACGAACAATCCTGAAAGTAGATCACAGGCATCCACACCGCATAATATTGTATCAATGTTTAACGAGTACTTTCATTCGGTATACACCAGCGTCTTGGAACAACCATCCTCAACTCAACCTAGTTCATCTTCTTCAATATCAAGTATTTCATCAATTGATCTCACCCAAGAAGAAGTGTGCCATGCTCTACAGAACTTAGACCCTTCCAAAGCTCATGGTCCTGACGGGCTTCCTTCACGTATTCTGAAAGAATGTGCTCACCAATTGGCGCCATCACTTCATTACCTTTTTACTAAGTCACTCAAAATATCCCAAGTTCCCGCGGAATGGAAATTAGCGAACATTATTCCAATACACAAGAAAGGTAACAAGGACCACGTTGAAAATTACCGCCCAATCTCCTTGTTATCCATCGTAAGCAAAACTCTTGAACGATGTGTACTCAACCATATATCTCATCATATACAATCTAACATTCATTCAGCGCAGTTTGGTTTCGTAAGCGGTAGGTCGTGTGCAACACAATTGTTATCCATTTTAAACACTATTGGGGAGAACTTGGACAAGGGGTTACAAACTGACGTTGTTTTTATGGACATTGCGAAGGCTTTCGACACTGTTGACCACTCCAACTTGTTGCGAAAACTGCGTGAATTTGGTTTCTCTGGTTCTGTTCTCCTCTGGTTTCAAAATTATTTATCAGGACGCTTCCAGCGGGTAACTGTTCATGGAGCTACATCACAATCCTTGCCTATTACATCTGGCGTTCCACAAGGATCATTATTGAGTCCCTTCCTCTTCTCTATTTACATAAACGACTTACCTAACCACTTATCCTCCTCTACTGGGGTCGGTTTGTTCGCTGATGACACCAAACTCTATAAAGCCGTGCAGAACCCTTCTGATGCCTTGGTTTTACAAGAAGATATATGGAGTCTCCAATCTTGGTCAGAGGAAAACAGGTTGCGTTTTAACAATTCTAAGTGTAAAGTACTTTCTATCACAAGGAAATCATCTCCGCTAATCACTTCGTATAGTCTTGACGGTCAACAACTGGCTTTGTCTAACACTGAAATTGATCTAGGCGTTGTTATAAATTCCAACCTAACCTGGATCAATCAAGTAAACAGGGTGCGATCTAAAGCTAATAAAATGCTTGGATTTATACGACGGACTACAATGGAAATGCATGACATCAGGGCGAGGAAGTACCTTTACTTACAACTGGTCCGCAACAATTTTGCGTATGCGTCTCAAGTATGGTCTCCACAAACAATCAAATTAATCGAGAATATCGAGAAGGTGCAGAGAAGGGCGACAAAATACATTTTAAATCTCGGTTTTATCACCAACGTTCCATATACAACAAGACTACTTCAACTCGACTTACTTCCTTTAACTTATTGGCACGAATATTTGGATTTAGTTCTACTCTACAAAATAATCAATGGCTACACATATATCGATGACAGTGCTCGACCAACAATGGCTGGTTCTGGAATAACGAGGAGCGAAACAAATGAGAACGTATATAAATTTTCAATACCATTTGCCAGTACGGTGACCTTCCAGACTTCTTATTTCATTAGAGCGTGTAAAACATGGAACATTTTGGGCTGTGATCTTCGTCACAGAGATATTGGTCTGAATACCTTTAAATCTAAACTTAAGACATATTACGAACACGCGCTATCCAAAATATACAATTGTGACGATCCACGCACATGGAAGTCGATATGTGTTAAATGTAGAAGGGCAAGGTCCCTGGACGGTGTTTTAAGATGTTGCTAGTTGCATGTATGTTATGTTTTGTTGTATGTTATGTTTTGTTAAGCGTAATGTCAGTTGTCTGTTATTAGATTATTCAATACTAATATTAACGTGATTTAGATGTAATTATTAAGGACTCGCCGTAATTGGGGACACTGTGGCGAGTATCCTGGCACTACATTGTTAAAATTTAAATTTAGTAGTTGTCGAACATTATTAAATCATTAAATCATTAAATCATACCTGTCTCCTACGGCACTATATTTGCCCATTATCTCAGCATAAGGATGTCTCCCATGGCAGTTATGCGCTTCGTCAAACACAATCAACGATACATCAGTTATTCTAAGCAAATCTCGCTCGTCTATCAACAGATTAAGGAAAATGGCTGGCGACATTACCAGCACGTCGACTGTACGGTCTACCAAAGACTTCAAGACTTTGATCCAAGCTGGGTTGTCGGTTGCTTCGAGTTCTCGTTCTCCTGTGAGTATTTCAACTTTCAGTTTTGGTAACTGACCTTAATCAAGAAAAATACACATAAATGTTTCTTCAGAATTTTCTCGAGCATTTCTTGTAAATGCCAGTGTTCGAACCAGACCTGGAAATAGTGGTGGATTCTGGGAACGTCGTTCTAAGAAAATAAGTTTCCAAGAAAGAATTTTTTTCAAGTTTGGTTGGCAGAATGTTTTGGGCTGGTAACAGTTGACAGAACGTTTTGGGCTGGTATATTTGGCCTCAAAGAGTCTTTGGTTTTTTGTTTTGTTTTTTATTAATATTTATTTTCAGGTAGGCAGTCTCGAGCTCAAAGTGCTCTCTATCTATAGATGATTCCATGCAGCTAATGACTAAATTTCGATCTAGGCAAGAAGAACAAAATCCATTACCACAACTAGAAAGAACAAGTTAAAATTAGTAAAACTTAGGGATGGGCCGATATCGATATCAAATACTCGATACTATCGATACCAGGGTTTTGAAGAAAAGTATCGATACTGGCAAGAAATATCAATGTTTCGATATTTCTGCGCCTGCGATATTTTTTCATTTTGGTCAGCGGCATCATCATGAAAATGATACCAAAAAGCCTAAATAGGCGTAAATACTATAAAAGTAGTTCATTTTCTATGGCGCTATAATGGTCCACGGGCAGGATCGGAGTTTCTGGTTATGTTGGTTGCAATCACTGACATTATTCAATGTTTATATTGTTAGCGTTGTTGCCGTTGTTAATGATTGAAAATAGTCTTTTTGTTGTGATGGTTGTTCGAGTTGGGAAAATATCGATATCGGTATCGATATCGAAAAAAATCGGCAAATATCGAGGAAATATCGTATCGAATGAAAAAGCTGGTATCGCCCATCCCTAGTAAAACACTAAAACTGCAAAGTTTGGCTGCGAAATGTTGTAAAATGCGGAAAACATAGCCATGCGCGCGAAAGTTGCAAATTTTGTATTAATTTGTATTACGCGCGGGAAAATGCACCACATTTGGGCGAAAATTTTTGCTAAGGATTTTGTTCTTCTTGCCTAGATCAAAATTTAGTCTAAAGCTGGAATAATCTATTCTTTACCTTTGATATAATTGAATTGTTGCTGTACAAGTGGAGTCTTCGGTGCTAAAAATACAGCCACTTTGTCCGAGTTAAGGTATCTCATGCATGCTATGCCCATCGCTGCTATCAGCGTCTTACCACACCCGGTGGGTAGGTACACGAGAGAGTTTCCTTCCATGGCTTTCAGGAATAACGATCTTTGGTATTCACGTGGCTTGTCTTCTGTGAGCTTGCCGATTGTGTTTCTGCTGGTCAGCGTTACATCACAGTAGACCAAGCGCGAGGGATCCACCCGGGGTCTGGGATTTGCCAAAATGGCGGAATCGTCAGACATAGTGCTTCTGCTTTTAACAGAAATCCCCATTCCTTGTAAGCTATCTTTTGCTTCGGACCACTTCTTCCATTTTATTTCTTCCCGTCTGTTACAAAAGTACACTTGGTTGGCACTGAATGACAGTGTGTTGTTCATATAAGACCCCAAGCTATTCTCACACTTCCCAGAGGTGAAGGACCCAGCTCGCCCTTGGCAAATGGCCTTGAAAGGGGCACGCTCTCTTTTCCTTGGGTCTGGATTTTGTACTTTTTCTATCACATCTTCGACGTCAACATCAGCTCTCAAGTTGAGGTGAATTCCATTCGAGCCGAGTAAGGTCAATTCTAAGCTATTCAATGGGACAATCTGGCATCTGCATTTCCGACAATGCAGAACCCAGTTTGAGGATGGCGAATAAGCTGTAGCCATTTTTACTTGGCACTGAGATCAAAGACAATTTGTCCGTTCTAAAAGAAAATTGCGTAATTAGACCGCATCTAAGGGTATGATATTAATACACCCTTTCGATAATTACGTCACAACTACACTGTTTTCAACTTAAGACCACCTTAAATGGAAAGGATTTCAAGTTTTTTTCTCATGGGATATGCACAGAGAAGAAGAACATCCTTCTTCAACACATGCATGAAAAAGAATTCTTCATTTTGACCAATAAATAGTGGAAATAAGCTTTAACACCAAAGCGAGGCTCTATATTTATTGATCAAAATCCAAATGTTATTTCGCGCATGTGTTGAAGAAGGATGTTCTGCTTCTCTGTCCATATCCCATGAGAAAAAAAACTTGAAATCCTTTCATTTAAGGTGGTCCTAAGTTGAAACAGTCAGTGTAATTGCGACGTAATTATCGAAAGGGTGTATTGAGACGAACGTCCTGTTCCTTATCCCAGTCACGTAGGTTGTCTTGCAACATTTAATGTATATCAGTGACGGCATAAAAATTTGTGACGAATTTAATAATTTCTTGGAATTAACAACGACTGACAAATGCTTAAAAATTAAACAATTTTATTGCTTACAACTTTTCGGAGTGTTCCTCCATCGTCAGGTAATAAAGGGGCAATCTTTATTACCTGAAGATGGAGTAACACTCCGAAACGTTGTAAACAATAAAATTGTTTATTTTTTAAGCATTTGTGGTCGTTGTTAATTCCAAGAAATTATACAAAATGAGGCTTAAAGACAGTTCGATACTAAAATTATTAAATTTAATAATAATAAAAATAATCTAAAAATGACAGGTTCTACTTTCTACCATAGGATTGTCGCCCTTGTAGGATGGCTCTTATTGGGCTATCCAGTATAATTGTTATCAGTACTCTTCCCGAATGCCTATTACTGAACCTCTATAGATGGAACAGTTAACTGATAAAGCAATATTGCAGCTTATCACAAGTATTTCAGGGAGGATAGCTCATACTGAAAGTTGCAAAGTGTTACCTCAGAGACGTCACGGAACTGAATAAGCGCGCATCTAGCCTGCGTAGCAGGCGTTTAGTGCGGGCGGGAGAAGAGAGGCGCGCATGCAGAGGACTAGATATTAGACTCTGAAAAGTCAAAGATCGGCAGAAAACTTTATAAGTTGATGCTCAATATCCATCCAATCTCGTACACAAAGCCATCGATAGCGAGATTGGTATCCATCTAGTTGGTTTCACTTTTAGTACCATCCGCATGCAAAGGCCAATATATATATATATATATATATATATATATATATATATATATATATATATATATATATATATATATATATATATATATATATATATATATATATTTCGGCTAGGGGACGGAGTGCAAAATGCCATGGGCAAGGTGGACGATAAAATCAAAGAATCTTGTTAATCAAAGAATGCTGGACCGTGTCTGTGAACTGGGTGAACTGTTGGATGAAAATTTCGAATAAAATCAAACTGTATCTAACATCTCCCAACATCATTCACCCGGCATAGCGAACTTTGACCCGACATAGCGTTCAAAATAAAGCAAAAGATGTTGCATTCAACAATTAGGATGATGTTGAACCAACAAGTGAACGGGTTTGCACGAACAATGAAACTCGATAGACAATATCTAATATTCAAATTAACTTACTTGAATTTATATTCAGTTGGCAAAGCTGCTTCGCATTCTCAAGGTGTGATTGTAAATCATATCTGACATTTTATTCAGTAGACACTGGCAGCATTCACATCTTGTAATTTCCTCTAAATGAGCAACGTTTAATCGCTACAACTACTCGGACAAAGGATTTTGACTGAATGAGCTAAACTTATGTTGTAACTGTTGAACAGTCTAAACAACACTATCAAATTACAGTTACTTTCAATTTCGAATTGGGTCGATGCTGGATTGTATTATGCCTACCAAAAATGATCCCCAACCGCTCGAATCCTCCTCAGTTCATTGCCATTTTTCACTTGGTATATTTGTAGTAATTCGGTACAATTTCAATAACAATGACATTAAACTAAACCAAAACAACGCGATAGAAACACCGTTTACGTAACAAGCCAAGCATATCAAATATTAATTTCTTCCAAGAAAACGCGAGCTTTTCTGGGTATCACTCATTCAAGCGTTTCCTGCTTTCGTTTTGGAAGAAAAATGTTCATGCAAGCAAAAGACACCTTGTGAGAACTACAAGCGAAATACGCAAATATCTTTTGAATATTGCAAAGTGAAATACGGCTTTTGGTGAGTGTGAAATAGATTTGTTGCAACTACAGTCTACGAGTAATTGTTTGTACGGGTATTAATCCTGGTTAACTATTTGAGATAAATTTCAAATCATTTGAATAAAAATACCAGCGTCGCTAGGTCTCAATTTCCCCCCATTCATGCCATTGGCATTGTTACTATTGCTAAAGGTCTAAAGCGAAACCAATGTCTATTCTATTGTCTGTACAAAAGTTCAGTTCTTTGATTTTAGTACTATAGAGTTTGATTCCCTTGTCGGTGTAGAAATTCTTGGATGGGGAGAAAATGTCGCCTTAACAGTTTATCTCGAACTAATATAGCTATCGAGCATACCAATAAGTCAGTGAAGTTAGTTAGGTTTCCTCCCGTCGTAACACTGAACTAATGAGGAATGATTCTTACTGGACCTCTAGGGATAAATTTCGAATCGCATATAAACAAAAGGGAAGAAGGCGATTATTTTAGGCGAATTGTGAACTCCAGATCGACAGCACAGCTTAGAACTGTTAGAGTCATCCAGAATAAATAAAGACAACATAAATTTTTTACTTTTGTTCTTTTCTGTGTATAGTAACACGTACTAGCAAATATACAGGCCTGCCAAGTTTGGAAGATAGGAATAAAGGAATACCGAATGGTTTTCCGTGCAGGATTGCGTGATCCATGCACGAGGGATGTCGCGAGACTTTCGGAAAGCGTAAAAATACTCGAGCCGTAGTCGAGTGTATTTTTACGCTTTCCGAAAGTCGAGCAACATCCCAAGTGCATGGATCACGCCTATCCTGCTTGGAAAACCATTTGGTAATTGTTTTATAAAATATAAAGTATAAACTACAGTGAAATAATGCGGGCGTTTAGTTGTGAATCCCGCGAAGGCATTTTAATTCCCCGTACAGGATAGCCTGATAAAATGTCTAAAGATAGAGTGCTGTAAAATGTCTTGCACAACAGCCCTTAAAATGTCATGCGGAACAGCCGTTACTGCAAATGTAAGTTAGGATAAATTTATACTGAACTGATAAGTCCTTTTTGTTTGTGGAAAACACTGTCATTTGATGTGAGTGAATCTAGACAATCTAAAGCCTGGTTTTCACTTATCAAAGTTTCTGTGATCACAGTAGGAATTTTTGCATGCGTAAATTCTAAGTTTCGAAGGATTCGTACTCATGTTTAACACTAGGTTTCCTCAAACATTTCTCACAAATCCTTCAAAATCTAGGAATTTACCTATGCAAAATTCCTATCGTGATCACAGAAACTTTGATAGTGTAAACGTGTGAACTGAAGCGACTTTTCAAAGTTGTAACTGTGAATTTATCATTATATATACACATTAGTACATTACACATAACTACAGTGATAAAATCGCTTTCCAGTCACGGTGCGTGTACTCTCAGACGGGGAAAAGACAGTACTTCCGAATGGCAGATTAACCGAGCATGAGAAAGACTAATAAGCACTTCCCTCTGCGCGCAAAAATTAAAAGCTGGAATTGCCCAGGGGGTGACGGGAAAAGTAAGGTATCATATTGCTGATTATGCTGAAAAATTTCAATAAAAACTGCCGAAACAACCCAAATATTTCAATATTTACAAGTATAAGCTATCACTCCGTGATTACACGGCCGCCATTTTTATTTTTTCAGCATAATCAGCAATATGACACCTTACTTCCCATCCCCTCTGCACGCATAAACAAAGCTGGAATTGCCTATTGAATTTTGCGTTCAAACTCACTAGATGTCGATGAGAAGTTAAAGATTCAAGAAACGGACCAAAGACAATGGATGAAAATTTCACCAACCATTCATCGTGGTGGCTACAATGCATTAAGTGTCACAAAGAAGTGGTAAACGCCTCAGACGTACGGTTGGCACAAGTGGGCTCAGATGGAGGCCTTCATCTCGCTCTACGACCGGAGCTTGAACCCCGGATAGATTTAGTCATCGAGAAACGGCAGCATCCAAAGCCTGAGCGAAGAAAGGAAGCTCCCTTTAAGATGTACTGCTTGAACGCAGGTTGTCCCCAAGACCTGGGCGTGTATCAGTTGTTGGAAGATCGATTTTTTTACGTCTTTAGTTCCAAGTCCGTCCGTTTCGGATCGAGGAGCGGCGATGTTGCGAAGATTAAACGATGGAAGGAAAGTAAGGCGGAGCTTGAAAGGATGGGAGTTCAGGTGTTGCAGGTTGGTTTTAGTGGCTTTGCACCTGCCCCAGACACAGAATAGGAAGTTATACCAGAAGCGTAACTCGAGCAAATATTTGTCCGCGTTTTTACAAGCGATTCGTCATCAATCACGCCATCCTGGCTAGTACAACCGGCACTTTGTACCCACCAAATCCTGATAAAACTTCCGGCTGTACTAGCCAGGATGGCGTGGCCTGACGTGAGCGAGTTAAAATTTTCGTGGACGTCAAACAATAAGGGAAACGACTAGAGTTACGCTTCTGGTATAACTTCCTATTCTGTGCCCCAGATTAGGTCTAAAAATGTATATAAATATCACTTGAAAATTCCGTGTACAACTTCTATCAAGTGAGATGCCCCAAACCCTGCTAGTGTACAATACGTTACTCTGAGGGTGCAAACACACCGGGCAAGATGAAAAGCTTGCCTGACCACGGTGGGAATCGAACCCACGACCTTTGGAGTGGAGATACTAGTCCAATGCTCTATCCCAAAGGTCGCGGGTTCGATTCCCACCGTAGTCAGGCAAACTTTTCAAACTGCCCGGCGTGGATATACACTCAGAGTAACATCAGAAACATTATATTCACCTGCGTACATAACATCAAAGAGACACAAAAAAATACCATGAGTAATAATGTCTGTTTAGATCTATTTTTGTTATGTTGAAGTTACTCGTTTATATTCTCCAAACACATGCCCAGCTAACCGGGATGAATCGTGTCATGAAATTTTTTTCTTGACCAAAAATAATCATTTGAATGAACTTGGTGCTGTCACTGCATGGAATCAAACTAAGCCAATGGACCATTTGCATTATAGACTAAACTTTGATCTGGACAAAAATTTCATCACAGCTTGAAAAATTTCATCACAGCTTGAAAGAGCATCACAAAATTAGTAATATTCCAAAGTTTCGTTGCGAAATGTTGTAAAATGCGGATAATATAGCCATGCGAACTTTGCAATTTTCAGTCATTTTGTATTACAAACGGGAAATTGATGCCCCAACACCCGATTGGGCTGTCAATTTCCCGTGCGTAATACAAAATGACTGAAAAACGGCAAACTTCGCATGGCTATATTATCCGCATTTTACAACATTTCGCAACGAAACTTTGGAATATTA